ACACACACACACTACACACACACACACACACACACACTATATATATATATATATATATATATATATATATAGACGTGTGTATAGATATGCTAGTTCATATTGTGAACTGCATATATTCGCATTAGCATAATTACCGTAATCAGAGTGGCGGTGATTGATTGTAACACTTGTATCTAAAGAAGGACTCGATAGTCGACTAACGGCCATGCAAACGGTTCGAAATATATAAAAATATCCTTTCGTAAATATACGTACTTAAACGCTTTCCGACGTATCTCCTAAGAAATTGATCGAGGTTTGCGTAGTGCGCACAACAACGCATGGCGAGCTTTATATGTAAAATGTGGCTCGATCGGCACACTGCCATAGAGACAAAGCACAGAAAAGTGACAACGGAAAGCACCGAAGACATACTAGATTATATTTCTTCAAGGTTGGTAGATGCTTAAAGCTTCTCAACGCGGTGACGACTATTGTGCTAGATCCCGAGGCTGGTCTAACATTAACTTTCGAGATCAGCATCAGAAGTAAGTATGCCCTAAACGTATGTATTGCCACAACTCACAAGAGGGATAACTCAAAGTCTGCAGTATTTATACATGTAGAAAATATTTTTTCTGCATAAAAAACTTTAAGAAAAAAAACATATAAAATCACCATTCGACGATGGCGCCTAAATTACCTAAAATGGCCGTGGCGATTACATTCGCCTGGACCGTGGCGTTGTGCATTTTTAAATTTTAAGTTACATACATTGGGGTCGTTTAGCTAACGTGAAGTATAAAGCAGTTAAATACAATGCAGCTACATATGAATAGATAATTCCGCAGAAACTAGCAGATATGTAGTTCAATAAACCAAAATCAACAAGTTCTAATTTACACGCTATTTTTTTTTGGAAGGGGAGCGATCGCGCTGTAGTTGAAAGAAAGAGACGGTTGCGGAACAGCAGTTGACGCGTGCCCCCCTCCCCCTAAAAAGAACACGGAGGCTAAGGTTCACTCTACAGCTAACATACTTCAATACTCTGTAGAAGAAATTATGGTGTTTAATCACAGATGAACCGCAGAGTTAGTAACCACAAAAGCATATATTGTCACCGCAACCACGCAATTACCAGAATCTGGTGCTACGTTTGCGAACCCCGGTCGAATAATCACTGAAACAGGCCCTTCTCCGCTACCGGTGGTATACTTCTACAGATCCGCGCCTCACGCTTGTAACCGCGACCAATTTTGTTCTACATACGTAGATAGATTACATCTACGTTTGTTATAATATACATATATCACATACATACATACATACACATACATACACATATATGTAATATGTGCACATACATACATACATACATACACATATATGTAATATGTGCACATACATACATACATACATACATACATACACATACATACATATATGTATACATAATATATATATATATATATACATATGAATTACGCCTCACCCCCAAACCATTTTCATGTTTCATGTATTGGCTCCTCTTGTTTGTCATCACTTAATGAGGCACAGAGTCAGGCACAGCTCGGGATCGATCATCCGGTCTGCTCCACTGGTTATCATTTTTGAAGTACCTCACAAGCAATAGAACTCCTGATACCACACATATGCTGCACGTATTTGTGTTCCGCGCCTTGTTTACAATGGGTATGCCCCACTCGTTCCTATCCCGCTTGCCTCACCCATCCCCACAACACCACCCAATCCCCCCCCCATTTTTTCACCCCTGTCCTGACTGTCACATGTACCGCGAACAACCTTGATTCTACTCCATCTCCTCCCTCAAATTCTCCGCGGCTGCCACTGCAAACGTACAAGAATGTTGCCTTTTATGGGCCAGTTACGCAACTACAAAACCAGTTGGCGAACTTCTGTAGAAACTTTAGCAAGTCTGATAGACAAGGTAACGCATGTGAACGCCTTTCCTGAAATTCTTGCTACTTCGATCAAATACTTTTACAGGTGTCGTGCAGAGGTACTCCCGTGTCTAGTTTTGTCTGGACCCCACAGGGCAGTCTGTATCTGTTTCTAAAAGTGCACATACAAGACCGTTGCGACGCAATACACGTCGCATCATTCGCTCATCAGCCTAATGTTCCCGTCACTGCTGCGAATTAGTGCTATTCTGCGCGCTCTCCTCGTCGCTGGCTTGTTCGGAGTCGTGCGCTTCCATACTCTCCTCCACAGGCGGCTGCACGCCAACTGGCGCGTGTCGAATTAAGTGAAATTGTGGGTGAATGTTAGCTTGTGCCTGTGCTTGCGGGACTGGCAGTGCGGCGATATCCACAGTACTTTGTACCGGCACAGTAGGGTCAGGGTTGGGATGCGCTACTGGCAATGTTGCCAGCTGCTGTTGCTGTTGCGGAGCCATAGTACGTGTCTGCGTGGCCTGTGCCTGTAGTTGCCGTTGGTTGAGCGGCAAAAGTGGGGGTATGGGTACTTGTTGGGGTATAGGCACCGGTACTTGCCCTGGGGCATGTACGGGGGGTGCGTAGAACTGTGCTGGTGGTGGCAGTTGGTACAGTGTAGCGGCCTGGGCGAGCATCTCGGGGTTTAGGTTGGCCCCATTGAAGTACGCTTCCGCAGACAAAGCGGTGGGAGCTTCGTACATGTGTGGATTTGGCATATGATAATATCCGTACACAGCACCATTTGGCAGCATGCTCATACCCGCAGGTAAGCCGCTTACATTCACACCCACGCCCATGTTAGGCATGTTCACGTTGTGTAGTCTCATGTGTTGTGGATTGTAGTAACCAGCTGCACCCATGTTATATCCCGTCATGTTTACGTTGCCTGTGTTCATGCCTGGCATCCCAATGTGGCTGTAGTTGCAGCGTGTGCCGTATCTGCACCTGCCGTTCTTCCAGAAAGCACACGCCGAGGCATGAGAAGCCAGAGCATTATTCGTGTTATTGTGCGCGTACCTCTCATTGCTCGATACAGTGATGTTGTTGGGTCCCATACTGTGAGTGTTGCTGTTACTGCCTCCTGCGTGATTGTTATGCAGGTAGTTGTTGTGATTGGTGTTGCTATGCTGGTACCTTCTGTAAGTGTCGTCTCGGTAGTAATGGTGGTTGTAATTATTGTGGAATTGTCTTCCACCCCGATTGTATGCAGAGTTATTGCCGTTATAAAATTTGTCTCCGTTCTGAACGTCGTGCGAATACTTGCAGTTGTCATGAAACTTACAATGGCCTTTCATGAAGAATCTGTGAATCGAAATAGATATGGGTGTTATCATGTGAGAAGGTTTGTTTCATCGGTGCCATAATCGATGGCAGCGAAAATTTATGTGTTTCTAAGTCGAAAGACCATTCAGTCGTGAGTTTAAAACATAGTTTTGTTATGACAGAGGCTCAGAGCGTTGACCAGTCAATGGATATTCAAAAAGTGAAAGCCCCTAAAACGACATAAAGATAACTATACGCACTACTACCCATACCTGCAAACATCTTTTCGGTTCCCCCTATTGTTATATTTGTGATTGTTATGAAATTTCCGATAGCTACCTTCGGCAGCTGGTGTCCCAGTAATCGCAAGACCCGTCTGGTCTGCTGGTGCTTGCGCTGCCGCCTTTTGCACCGCGCTTCCATTTTCATCAATATTCGTAGATGCTTCAATATTGCTTTCACTGGCTACACTGGTATCAAAAGCTTCTGTAGGTATCGTTCGTTCTGCATTGTCAGGTAGACCTTGATCTTGGAATGTGTGGGTGTATTCATAATCATCGTTTGCGTGTAGACTATAGTTCTCCTGCTCATCCACATCTTCGCTGATATCCGTGGCGGCCAGTGACCCTGCGAGTATACTTATAACTTCCTGATTCACATCCGAAGTCAACGAGGTTTGACTAGAAGGGACTGAAGTTCTTTCTCTGCGTTTTTTCCCCTCGTTCTTGGCCACCTGTTTTCGGGATTGAAGTATCTGTGATTCTGTACTCAAGCTGTCGTTGTCTTGTGACAACTCAGTTGGCCTACATGACAGTGAACCCATAGACTGCATCTGTTGCATTTGCGTGTGCACATGTTTACGTCCCTCAGACCCCTCCTCACCCGCACCACTAGCAGACATAGATGGTTTACTAGAAAAATCACTCCCCGTCTCAGAAATTATCGTAGGGCTTGTACTGGTTTTTGTAACCTCAGTTGATACTGTAGCATTTTTCTGCTTGACTCGGGTTCCCTTTCCCTTTTTACTCCTATTGCGACGATTGGAATTAGTATCCTTAGAAGCCCGTATGTTGGCCGAGACAGGCGTTGAAGGATTGTGGGTGCTCATTATGCTAAGCTGTAAGTGACAAAGGCGATTTCCGACCGATTGAAGGTGTCAAAAGTATATATCAGGCTTAGAAATGAGGATGTGACGTGTCCTGTGATTTGGTTTGTAGCTGTACCTTGCAGTCACATACGGTTGAGAAAGTGTGTGCGGCTATCGTTGAGCTTCAAATATTATGAGCTTGTTCGATGATAGTGTAAGTAGCGGATATACTGTCGAATTGAGGGTGCGGGTTATAAAACCAATATGTACAGTGATAATTTGCCCCACATCTACACGCACCTGCATGTACCACGTTATCGGTACTATTTCTAACCCCTTCACTTGCGCAATATGCGTATGTGTGATTGCAACTAATCCTCCTACTCTACACCTAATTACTTAGGCCCAACCAAAAAAAGTAATAATAGTAGTATAAAGCTATTATAGTAGCCCTCGCGTACTTATCGCCTACAGGTATACTTTAAAAATAGTATTATTTGTGTTATTCCGAATGTTGTCGGTTGGGATTCTAAAAGGAATAATAAAATTATTGAAAGTAAACAACTTTGTATGATTTGAATATTATCCACTTATTTCTATAAATTGGGTCGCACACTTACACTGGTCGATTTCGTGGGGAATTTGCATAAATAAAAACATGTGTCTTTGGCATTCTTTTAGTTGATTTGTCGATGCCAAGGAAAAACTTCATGAAAACTATAACTTTTTTAAACGAGGGTTTTTTTTATCAATTTTATTACTCAGGCACAGGTTTTTATATTTTATATATCATCAGTGTGTAATTTTCAAAATTCGCCGCACGTGTACGTATGCGCCATATTATCTTGTTGAGAAGTAGGCTTTTGACTGTCTAACCTTCCGATTAGAGGGTCACTATTCTCGGACATACTCTTATCAAACACGCTAATCCTTATTTTAATATACACTACGAAATAGCATCCGGGTGAATCTGTGAACCTATTAATAATGGCTAAAAGTGTCAGATCAAAGAAAATGCGTGCTAACCGCGCTGAGCTGCGCAAGAGGTACGCTCCCAGAGATGCAGCACTTCTGAGCAAAACGGTACGTTTGCTTCTGTTTTATCTCTTTAACGATACATGCTTCCCAAAGTTATGTGAACAATTTTGTATCGAGAGTTTGTCTAGTTTTATATCTGCGTTTAAAAGATACCCTTGTGTGGATCGTGCCAAGTATATATCTCCTTGTGAAGATTGTCTGTAATAGTTATGTCAAGTCAATGTTTTATAACATTGAAAGCAGAAGTTGTTTTACTGTCTCGTGTGTATGAACATATATTTTCTCGTGTATGGACGTATCAAATGCGATTTTTCCAGGATTAATATCTGAATGACTCTGTATTCGCCCGCAATGCACTCTCGGTTATGTGTTATTTGTGCCTAAGACTCCTTTCTCCACCTGTAAGGCACCAAGTCGAACTTATTTGGCCTGTCGTCAGTGATATATGTTGTACTGGCATTGTAGCTGCCAAATAAAGTACGCTCTGTGCACCTTAAGCTCAGCTACGTGTATTATATAAAAACCGGTGAATGTAGTTGCGGAGGGTGTCACTAGTGCGCTCTATGTCACACTTGTATGAAGCTTACGTTTTTAATCTTTTTGAATATACATACATAGGTATCCAAGATCAATGCTGAGGTAGCAGAGACGATTGCTGACCTCAAGGCCGAGAAGGTAAAGGAAGAATCCGCTAAAACTGAAGCAAAAGAGAATGGCATGGACGTTGAAGGCGAGGCCAAAGAGAAGGAGAATGAACCTTTATTTCCCAACAAAGCGCAGCGAAAGAAGCAAAAACACACACTCAAGGTTAAGAAGCTGCACAGGAAGGGGGTGAGGAGTACTAAGCGATACAATATGTAAATATATCTTTGGTGATGTACTCCATGATAATAGAATATTAAGAGCCGCGCAGTTTTGATTCCGCTGAGACGCGCTACATGATGTGGGTGTTCTCTTCTGTATGCTACATACTGCATAGAACACACTGTCAAGGTGGCCAATCATGAGTTGCAGACTCGCCCATATATACACATATATGAATATGTACATATGTCAATTTATGCATGAATAATTATGTATATAGAATACGCGAGAGATTTTAATTGGTGAATCCCGTGTCAGTATGCCAGTGCTGCGGACGTTAGAAAAATACTGAGATTCTGAAGAACAGCTAAAATAATAAGTTTGTGCGCTCGGAGCAAACGATAGGGACGGAAGAGAAATACATGAATATAAATTACGATTACATACACATGTTTACAAGACCAGATTGTCGACGAATTTGAACATCGTAAATATCTTTTTGTGTATATATTTAGCAGCAGCGGACTTTGTCGTGATTTACTCGCATATATGATTGGTGATGGACAATTAATTTAAATAAATATAGAGCTTTTGCCTATCATAGCACGGAATTAGGTGAACATCTTCTGCTATGAATTCAATATGCGAATATCTAGTCCGGCTCCTATACGCGTATATGTTAAGTGTTCACGTTGCGTGTCTATAGAAAAAGATATGAATGACTTAGTTTATCACTCGCACAAGTAGAAAACCTCTGCTGTAGTATAGAATAAATGATGCACAAACATTTCCGCTCAATTTACGACGGGCAGTGAAGCCTATATATACATATATACATACACACGCACACACACACACATATATATATGCATGTATACGTACGTACACGAGCACACACACACACATATATATATATAATTCATATGCATCATGCATATGTAAATATAGCAATCTTGGGCTTGCAGTAGAGGAGATGGTTATGATACAAGCTGCCAAGCCCATAGGGCTACAAACTCTCCAACATTGGCAGTGCTGAAGCACCGTCAGCCCACGCTCAGCACTACGACGGTTGTGAGGTGTCAGATTGTGATATATAATTAGGAAGAAAATATCTTGCGTTTATTTACCTTGACTCGGTTAGGCAGCATTCGCAGGAACCCAATAGACTCCCACGTGCCGACAGAGTCGCCCATAAATACCCCATATACTAGATTTGTGAATATTGCTTGGAGCCCAGAGATTAGGCTTGAGGTGGGCATTTTTTAATTCCCAATAGTCGAGAACTGCATTATCCGTATATGTGTTTTAGAAAATAGCGACGGTAGTCGGTAAGTCGTGCCTTCAGGAGCGAAGATGGTACACTTCATTCGAGAATCCACTATCTGGCGAATGCACCTTGTATTTTCTTTGATTGTGCCCAGTCCTTGACAGTGTATTTGGGACTCCAGCCGGATGCAGTGAGTAACGCCGAACTTTCATTTACTATGCGGTTTTCCGCTTGTATATCGCCATTCAATTTGAGTATCGTGTTGCAGAAGGCCTGCGTGCGCGTATATGTCAATCAAGGTACGCTCAATTCAGTCAATATCGAAGAGCAATCCTGTATCTAGAGGTGAACGATATATGCCAGATTTTAAAATATTTCATACCAGATTTCAAAGCTATTTCATATACACGGGTCGATTTGAATTTCATACATGACATACCTCGGCGAAAACTTTAACCATTCCAAATGAAACCATCACATCCACTAGCGCAGTCGGTGGCACTGCCTGGATCTTCACATCATAGCCAATGCCATCAGAGAGCGCCTGCACTTCTTCAGCCAAACTCAGCATCTCGGGTCCGTGTACCTTTTTTTGCGAAGTATCAAACAAGGCTTTGTTATTCACACGTGCATGCAACATCCATTGTTATGTGAAATCACATATACAATCTAAAGAAACTGTATTTTGATAGTGTGTGTCGGTGAGCGGTCACATATTAAACTCGAGACAGGTCACAAAAAATAGGCACCTCAATCGCACGCTCCTGAAGAAACTCGTTGAACTTGGACTCATCAGCTAGCAGTATCGTGGCAGCAGCTCGTGCAACATCCCTAGGGTCTACCATTGCCATCTTGTTTCCATCACCGGCACAAGGATAGCTCAATTTTCCCGAAGCCTTGACCTCTATATTGAGCAGTATACGATATGAGTGTACGTGTGATAAATCAATTGTACCACCTGAGCCTATACTGCACAACATTATTGTGAAGATTCAATTCTGATGGCGAGCCAGTCGTAACTGCAATTGGTTCAAACTAGGTCTTGTTGATAGCAGTATCCTAATGGTGGACATCCTCGATCGCGATTTGAAATATGAATGAATCATGCTTGTATCAGTGTGGGCGGTAAGCGGCATACTCACAGAGTCTCTCGTGTTGCCAATCTTGCATGAATAACGTATACTCGCAGAATCTATCTTGTGTGAAAGAATCAGCATGCAGATAATTACAATCAAGTTGATAATAAAGGCCTGAATATTAAGAATTTTTACATCCGCCATGCATAACTAAACTAGTCCACGAATATACGTACGATATACCTTCTACGCCAGCCAGTAGATTATCCATGAACCAGTTCGGACGAAGCACCACAACCTTGTACCTCTGCACTTGTGCGAATGCCTCTATGCAGTAGTGGTTACGACCGTATGCTGTACGCGAACCTGGGTGTGTCAAGACGGTCGCTGTGCCCACTTTGACGACAGGGACCGAATGTCTAGCCGCAGACTCGATGAAGTTGCATTCACGCTCAAACATATCATGCGTGAAACACGAGCTCACCAGAAAGGCTCGATCGACGCCCTGATGAAGAGGCCATTCCAATGTTATCAAAAATTACTGATTTGTTCGTCCCAAGCATCTTCATACATTTGTATGACCTTTTACCAGCTTCAACATAGCTTGTGATGTTAAGTCCGACGTTTCCAGATGATTTGCGAATATATGCCAAGCGGAAAGATTTGGCAGCAGCACTTATTGTAGCAGCTATTCCTGAAGGAAGGCTAAATAGTGTGCGAATATGCGGCTGGTCTATTTCAAAAGTAAAAACAAAGTCCGATCTTGCTAAATATTTCCATTTAACAGCTTCATTTAACAGCTTCATATAAACCGATCTTGAACAATGTCCAGATTTGGGAAGTCTCGAATCAAATAATCAGACGGTGTGAGAAGCACAATGAATTTTATACTTAATGGATCAAATAAGACAACTAGGCAACATATGTACGACTATACCATATTTTAAAAATACCTTCAAAGCAGCGTCTACACTATCTTTATCGTCAAAGTCCCCTTTCACAAGCGTTACATTCGGTAGAGCGGCCAGAGGAGATACTCGCGGGTCAGCTACATCGCGAACAAATGCGTGCACATTCACACTGTTGGTCTGGGACAACTCATGTACCAGAGTCCCGGCTGTATTGGCTGTAGCAGCACTCACTAATATGGTCAACATAGAGAAAAAGACGATAAATAACCTCAACTCGATGTGTCTTATCCTATTTTGTGAATACACGCTCCAGCTGTGTTTTGACTTTTGTGTATTTAAGAGTATTTATATTTGCAACGATTGTATGATGAACACAATAAACACATATATTTGCCCACGGCTTTTGGGTTTTACGCCTCTCTTGGGTTTCATCGGAGCTATGTTCAGCAGCTCTCATTGCTCATTAAAAGCCTTCCTCAGGCTACCACCGCCCACTCTTCCAGGCCCAGCGGCCCAGCCTCTCACTCATGAGTCTAAGACTCATGACTCCCTACAACTGCCCAGTGCCCACATTGCCCAGGGCCCCAGGCCCAGGTGGGAGAGGGCCCAGTGCCCCAGTCATCAGCGTCCCAGACCTGTGGTGGGGGAGGCTGGGACGCTCTGGGACCCTGGGACTCCCGCGAGCGAGTCGAGGCTCAGACGAGTCAGTCGGCAGACCTAAGTTGAACAGTTCGTCACCTTTGTTTTTTATTGTGAAAAAGCAAATTCTCTCTGACTCTGATGAGTATAATGAACTCATGAATCCATGATTCATTATCTGTCTCACAGGCAGTCATAACCAGGCCTCATCAGTCTTCAGTCCTCAGTCCTCAGGCCCTCAGCCTCTCAGGCTGTCACCATCAGACCAGTCAGGGACTCAGGGCTCAGTGAGTCTCAGTCAATGAGTCAATGACACAGACTCAAGGCTCTCAGGACTCAGACTCAGCCCTCAGCCTCAGGATTCAGGACAGACTCTCACCAATTTTTTTGTTGGTCAACATTTATATTTCATTGCAACATAACCGAATCGGTATGAGAATCTCACATTCATCGCATTCATCGCAGTGTATTTTTTAAATTTGTTTTCAGATCATGATTCACATTTCACACAGTATACACACTGGAGGGGAATAAAGGGACTCTTGGAGTGGTCAGTGGGCCAGATTGCCCCAGACTGCCAGAGTCAGGCGCTCAATCGCTCAAAGTTGTTGTATATTAGTCATCAGTACAGTGAATATTTTTTCTATAAAAACAAAATATCTTGTTGTGAGACTCCGCGGGACCGGCTGCCTACTATGTAAATAGCTAGAAAGCCTACTACTACTCTCTATTTACTACTAGAGTTGTAAATACTATATAGAGAGCGAGAGAGAGTATGTAACTAGCGAGAGAGAGGGGCTGGGCGGGGGCCTGGCCCTGGGGCCCTGGCTCAATACTGCCCCCGGTGCCCCCACCGAATTCCGTTTCGAACGATGTAAAATAATAATTTACGTTGGTATAGTTTGCTTCTTGTGCTGGAGAAGTAAATCCACACCTGAAGCATATAAATACTAGTTCGTCAAATCACGGAGAAGAGATAGTCTCTATCGACGCAGACACTATGCATGACGACACTATACACGCAGACACTTTGCACGCAGACACTGTGTACGCAGAAACTGTACACGCAGAAACTGTACACGCAGCCGCCACACATTGCGATGAGGTGGAAAGCGGCGAAGCGATGACAAGCAAACATTTTACTGCCAAAGCTACACCCCCAAGTAGTTCAGACGGTTGTATGAGTGGTAGAATTGGTTCCAGCTTGGAATTGACTACGTCTCGAGACGTTGGGAGAAATAGAAACAAAGGTGGTAACCCATACGCACCATCATGCGAGTATGCAGCGCAAGTCGAGCCAGGATGTATTAAGAATAATAACACGAGTATAGTAGGCAACCCCTATGCACCTGCGTGCGAATATACACCTCAGATCAATACCGAATCTACCAGAAATAGTGTCATGAATAGCAACAGAAATAGTGCTGTATCGACAGTAAAATCTCCGCGGAGAGGAGATCATAATCACATATTACACGAGGGCCACAACAGGACAAATCAAACAGATATTAGGAGAGATAGGGCCGAGAAAGCGGATACACTGTCCCAATTCTCAAAGCAAAGTTTCTGGTTGGTGCTTCTATACTCATTTTTAATCACCTTCGCATTCACCATTACCAATCTAGTTCTTCTCTCTGGCTCTGAGGAGTGCAACCCCCATTACGCGCTCAGCATTACTATTGTAAGCGTCAGTGGCGTTCTGCATCTGTGCACAGTCAGTATATACATTTGGCAAGTGCACAAACATAGAGAGAATATCTTTATCAGGTCCCGTGGAAAGCAATTTCTTCTTCAGATCTGTATCCTTTCCCCGTGTGTGATTGTGTTCTCCACGTTACTATCACTGACCTACTTGGGTGCACTTTCAGGTGTGTGCATCTATTCTAATGCAGCGCCCTGGGATGGTGCGTCCGATGCCGTGCTGTTTGCGCTATACACAGTTGTACGGCTCGTGACCACCATGTTCTTATCCGCGATCATCGCACGCCAGCGGCTGCTGTACCTCCTTTTTATACACAAAGCTACACGCGCATATTCTAAAAAGGCCCTCTCAAGGCAATACTTGTACACTAACCTGTGTATATTGGGAGCGTTCTTGGTTGCCGAGGTTCCGTATTTTGTGATAGTGATCAAAGATGGAAAGGGTGAGAATGGTGCACCTATTGGTGCTGCTTTGATTAGTCAAGTTGGGTTCGTCGCGATACTACTGTGTGTGTTCAGTTTCTACGCGTACAAAACCAGGAAGATCGAGCTGACCTTCTCCGACTGGGGTGCCAACGTACGAGTGCTGTGTATGTTCACCGTCACGAATATTATACTGGCTGTACTTCTATCTGTTAAGGGTGCCAATCTCGCGCTAGGGCTGTTCTCCGGTGCCGTAGAGATGTTTGTCGCGACGGCGTACATTATGGACTCATTCTCGGCTCTTCTTGTGTCCATTTACTATGGTATTGAACGCACGGTCGTCCCGGCAGCGGTACAGTTGCCCTCGCTCTCCACAAACCTTCGGAGTGCCTCTCGCGCTATGAGAGCTAACCGACGCAGTGATGATACAGAGGTTGGTAGAGGGAAGACGCTAGCAACAATTGCCAGCGCTGTAAGCCACGAATTCAGCGATGAGCAAATGGGAGGTAGTACGGGTGTTCCACAGGCGCCAGTCGATGCACAAATTCACGCGGACATGCACATGCACCTGAGTAATACTGCGACCATGCCGGTGGTTTTTGAGAGAAGTACAGATGAAACGAGCTGAGCAGAGGTTGTACTTTGCACATGGAAATACAAGATTATCCTCAAATGATAGAATACCGAAGATTGGCACACGAGGAAAGATGCCGAACCAAAAGCTGGGGTTATCATCTTCATAACAAATAGAAGACCAGAATGCAAAGCCTTGAGGATGTGGACGCTCCACACGCCTGAAGAGCATCAAATCTTTTCAATATCGACAAAATAACAATCGAACATCCAGAGCGGTGAAATGCAACCTCATCGATACTTGTAAGATTTAGAACCGTTAGCTTAGTATGTCGAGCGAGCACAAACTGCTTGCCATTGCATATGCCTGGTATATAAATTAGGTTCTTCGGTAGATCTGGGCCTCCTCGTCTTATTATGCGCAGCCATTTATAAGGCAACGCTACGAGCTGAAGGTAAACCACAAATCGTGTGAAGTCACGAACAAACATTAAATCTCCGTGGAGAGATTTCTCCGACGTAGCAGAGTAACTTGTATTTGTACAATTTGGATCTATTTGGTGTGGGTTTATTAAGGTTAGTTTTTCGCCTCAGCCTTGTTCACAGAAAGGCGTACGCGCAGACTTAAAGACAGTTAGGAATATTCACGCTCACTTGTCATTTTCTTCGGTTCTTGAGAGTTGACGTTTCTACTAGAACCCCACTGAGTCGATTTTTCATCCGCTGAGATTCTCACTACTATCAAATTATGAATGCATAACAAGAAGTTCGAAAACTGGCCCAGCATCAGTAGCGGTGTATCTTCAAATCCTCCTATGGGGTATCTTTGTAGTCTTAATGGATGTTATTTCAACTCTTGTCTTGTGTGGTGATAAATTACATACAATAAAAATTACATAGCTCGACACATTCCACGCTCATTGTACACATCTCGACGAAATAACTACGTTATAATAAGCGTGCGAATTCCAGAGGCAGATGATAAACATATTCTCGAGAGTTTTTGATCATATACATCCCTGCAAAGAGCTCCCTACAGTGGATCTTAGCTATGGGCGTGAGTAGTAGCTATAGCAAACTTCAGCGAACAGACTTCAATTTTATCAATTATGCATACCGAGGTCCCATAAGCCTTAACTGCCTAGAATTTGAACTTTTACTTTGTTGGCAATCAACACTGGGGCCTATGATGTGTATTAAATTTAAGATTACTTTGGTTTGCTGAGACTCGCAATTAACTCCACTTCTTCATCCCAATACGAAGGGAGCGCACACCACGGGTTGGGCATACCCAAATCGGTCACAAATATTCCAACAAACTGTGATGCAAGTGACAGGTACATCATTGGATGAGAGAGAGCGCAAGTAAAACTGATTTCTTCACAGCTGACAAGATCTTGAATTGGACACGAAAACGTGAACGAACTACGAGACAAGCCGTGGGTATATCGGGGTGTGTAACCAACGTGCATGTGCGCGCACAAATACATCACTAAACTTGCGGCGCACTGTGAGTGTACCTTTGAACTATAAATGAACACGATGCTTTTGCTTACAAAATGGTATTTCGTGATAACTGACATGATCGAAGCCTTTTATATAGTATTCTCGATGCGTTTGTCTTATGAAAAATATATCGAGACTGTGCTTCTTGTTTTTATCTATATATGTTAAACAGGAACTGCATGGGCCTGCTCAATTGTCGATGCAAGTAACTGCATGGGCCTATTGAATTGTTGATGTAATTGGAATCGTCAATGTGCACTTGTTTAAAACCATACCTCTGAAGCAGCCGCTTTTTTTACCGCTTTTGTCATATCTTTTGCCGTAGGGCAAGTGTGTAGCAGTGCGAGTGATTTCTCTCGCGCACCAGAAAGATGCGCTTGTTGAAAATCCTACAAATATTCAATGAAGTTAGAACATGGCTTTCGTATAAAAAAACATAATGATGGCCATCAGAATAAATAAAGAACACGTATTTCTGTATACTCGTTATCCACGGCAGGATCAGTACCAACAGTGCTAGAGCTGGTAGATACAACTCGCTGGGAATTTAGAAAGCTACTCCAGCGAGAAGAAAGCTATTAACAATACTTGCGCAGAACTTTCGATCGAGTTTGCCTTGTAAGTAGCACAGAGGACTGGAGTGAGCGCAAATTCATTCAAGGCGCGATTAATCTGTTGGCGTTCAAGCGTATTAGTTCTTGTACAAGTAACATTTTTTGGTAGTAGACGGTGAAGATGTGTACAAACATATCTTCACGGCATACGGGATACGGCTTTTTAAGCTGCAATCGAAACACTTACGCTGATTTGGAGCATGCAATAGTGGTTTATGCCAAGCTTGAAACCTATGCACGAACAAGACCCCTCCACAACCGATCTGTACTGTAGACAATAATACATACCACACTAGCTCTCGCACATGTACACATACCTTCCAGTAGTTTTCACACGTTACCAGGTTATCACATGCATCGTAGTAGCTGTCGTGCGGTTCAACGCCTGTGCAAATGCAAACCCCCATGATTGCAAGTAAGTACTAGTAATGAAACAGTAGCTTGTATTTACATCGCTACAGAGTAAGAATTTGAACAAATTTAATGTTCAACGTCGTGGAAACTCACATTGCATGCTCATGAATTAAACAAATATGATGCAGCACTGATTCGTAAAAGCCGACTGATTGTTCGATTTTGCAAGTGGGCCCGTACCAGTATTTAATATGACAGACTTCATCCGCGGGCTGTCAGGCACATGAAATTCCTTGATGTATGTGTTGAGACTATTATAATATGATACAATATGGTGCTCCGAGGATCCCTGTGAGTTTGTTGCAAACAAGAGTTGTATTTAAGTACCTCACCTACACGTTCTGAGGCAGTCACACGATCAGTAAGAAGCCAGATGATAGAAACAATTGATACCCGTACAGCGAAGTTGTAACAAAATGTCAAATTCTAAGATCGGCACAACGCAGATGGATAAGCATCTATTTTTACTTCACAGAAGCACAATAGATTGAAGTTGTCATTCATAATTGAAACTCGAAACATCGGAATAAAACGTACCTCGTCTAGAAAGATACCGTCGACTGCATACCATTCAGAAAAAGCTTTGATTTCTGAGCTGACCAGGTCTTTGTCGCGCTGTCCATACTGTGTGTGCACATAGCCGAAAATCTGACAAACCGAAATTCCAAGTTTAAGTTTTTCGGCCATTCTCGGATTACAATCTAACATAAATTCGCACTAGCTTTGTTTGAGAATTGAGACTGTAAATGAAAAAAATAATCCGCATAAGAAGACACGCTATTGACAGCACCTCTATTCCTGCATCCCTCAGCATAGCCACACCGGCCACATAATCTGCGATATGAATCGAGAGTAGGGTTATTTGAACAGGCAGCTATATAATGGTGAATGTATAGGGAGTAAAATAAACGCCCACAAGCATTCAATTGTAACATAAACACCGCATAATTTCTGATTTGCTTCACTTGCATGTTCAACCGCTGACAAGTTCGATTTCATCAATACATTCACAAGATTTGTACCCAACTTAACTCTCATGGATTTTGTTTTGTGTGTAGATTTGGGTGTATTTATTCTCGAAACTATATCCTTGAACTTCGAAAACCACTGAAACAATCAAGAGGTTATAGGACTCGAATCGATCAATTTGGAACGTGATTTACAGAAATACATTTTGTCGGCCCAGAATTTTTGTAACTTGACAGGTATCGTTAAGGATCCAAAATTTGGCTACACACCTATTAACTCTAAAGATAGTTTATCTATGTTTGCAACACGATTGAAAGAAAACAGCATTGCTTTTTTGGTGTCTAAAACATGTTCCCCTGAACACACGTTTTTATTTGCGTATATCTGTAGATGTGCATATAGATAAGTATATACATACATGGTCAGCACAACCGTACATATATATATACACACAAAGTAAACCTCGGAATAAACGCAACACGTCGTGGGATATTTGCATCATATCTTTGAACATAGAAACACTTACTTAAATGCTAATAGAAGCACATCAAGAAGATGGGATTTATTCATACGATCGGTATGCTCACTTTATACATATCACTANATGCATACACGGAATTTGAATTCAAATATTCGTGTA